ATAACAGATCAGGTAATTCCACTCTCCCTGCCTCTAACAAAAACCTGATTCTGGTTCCCAGTCTTGTCCCATATGCTGCAGACATACCGCAGCTTTTTTTTTCTTTTAAGTTAGCATCACATGGTCTCTTTGATGTGGTTTTTCCCTGTCATGATGGTGTGATGGTCTGTAGTCAAGCAGCTGTTCTTTGAAGGCCTCACTTAGTATGAAAAGCTTTTTATTAACCTCCAGGTGCATGTTTGTAAGAGTGGCTGCCTCCTCAGATAATGGAGGGTTTGACCATAAATCTCAATGGGCATTTAGAAATCACTTATTTGCTTCCGCTTTTGAATATGATGGGAATATGTGTGCACCCTGATGTGTCTTTTTATTATGTATGTGTATTAAGGTTTATATGCTCATCAAAAAAATATTAAGGTCTTGTCAGTTTATCAGCACAGTATAACTAGTAATAGTAATTGTTTTCATGTATTTCTTTGAAACAAGCATATCTCACGGAGAGTAGGGTAGCCAGGAGTGGGTCCTCTGGTGTAGACAGGGGGGTGTTGTCTCTCTGACACAAAGGGCCAGATTTACCAAAAATAAATGGTGCAGCAGCTCATTACGCAGTCAGCTTCTGGACCGATTGCGGTACTGAACCTCCCATGACTCAGTCTGCCTGTGATAGTTGAGCTTGTGGGCGCAGTTCAGAGGTGGGATTTTGATGACATCGCTGAGCTCAGAAAAGAAATGATAACATAGTGATGTTGATTACAAAATATTTATTTCTGACCACGGTTCTACTCAATCTGAAAAAGAGTTACTATTACTCAAAATATCACACGTAGAATCATTATATTAATCTATATAAGTAATACATTAGGAGGCAATAAACACAAAAACACAAAATGGAGTGAAAGACACATCAAAGACGCAGTACACAGTACACACAAAGTAAACACACTGCTGAGGTACATGCAGCCAAACGCACACTTAAATGTCCTAGCAAAGGAAAAAATGTTAAGTTGCAGGCTTTAATGATGTTACAGTTCATTAATGGTTCAGTTCAAATTCAAGTTTGATGATTTTTCCGACCACTCTTTCCCTGTCACGGTAATTAGATAGAAAACTGCTTGATTTTAGTTTCTAATAATGAGGATTTAGTTGAACATGAGCCTGTATTTAATGCACATTTATTTCCACCACTCCGACCTTCCTTGTGGTTCTTATAAATCCCATCTGCGTTGTTTTTACGTCTCCCTTTCAGAGAATTTTCTCCACAAAACTGACCGTCACAAGTAGCGTGACCTCAGTAAATCAAGCAGAATACATAATCATCCTCTGTTAACATGTCTCCCCCTGTTATTTGCATGATCCTCTCTTTTTAAATACATATGCAACAAGGAGAGACGCACACCTGACAAACACTCATACAAATGACTTGCAAACTGCAACTCCGGCCTGCTGCGTCTGATAAAGGAAGAACACGTGTTAGGGGTAGAGTGTGTCACATCTGTGCCTGACAAAAGAATGCAGAAGCCTGAGTAAATCTGGCTGAGGGAGTTTGGATATGTGAACTACACTGACCAGGCTGCCCTGTGCAGTGCTAATATATGTGGCACCAGTCTTATAAACCTATAATTGATGCAGTTTTCACAGCAGCCCCTCCACTCACTCTGATGTCAAACTATTTGAGTGTCCATTCTGGCAAAAAAAAAGATTTTTAAACCAGTGGAAAAAATGAAGTATTGCCCTTATTTGTGACATTTAAGTCGAAAGTCCCCTTGAATTAGCATATTTTACAGTAATTCAGTTACTAATGGACAACGAGAGCTTCAGCAGTGTAATTTTATTACAGAACTGGCTCACCTCACTTAAGTACTCTAAAGCCTTCAAAACCAAAAAGCACTAGCTACATATTAAGACAGAATTCAGTGAAGAACAGACTTTTACTTTTGTTTTAACTTAAATTTAAAAGAAATGCAATTTTATTGAAAGTTGGAAGAAAAATACTTGGTAAATTTGTAGTTCGCTACAAAACCCAGCAAAAGCAAGATGGCTGAACCCAGTTAAATGTAGTTAGTGAGATATCCACGGCTAGCCTTTGCTAAAGCTAATTATTATTTTTGCTAAATAATAAAAAGAAGGCATTACATCCCTGCCACCTATTACACAGCTTACCAGTTATAGTTAATGCTCTCTGCCTCAGCAGGACATTTCATTGCCGTCTACTATAGTTAGTTGTTTTGCCATATAACCGGGTGTTTTTCTGTAATTTGTTAATGATTTCAACTAATTTTATAAGCTGTGGTTGGCTTTTTATAAAATGGTAACATGTAGGTATTATGTTTTTAGCAAAAAATATTAAATAAATATATCAAATATTTCCATTATTTAAACCATTTTAAGTAATAAAAAACAAATTAAAACATTTCCATCATGTTTAAGTAATAATTAATGCAGTAGAGGGTTAAATGCTTTGGATTAATGTGCGTGGTCTTTTTGTTTCCTCTGTAGAGTGTCCTGACGATGTGGAGCAGCAGGAGCACGAGCAGCAGCAGAAGGAGATGCCACAGCCTTCTGACCCGTCGGGAGGTGCCAACGCCGCCACAGGCGGCCGAAGAAACCCACCTGGTGGCAAGTCCAGCCTCATCCTGGGTTGAGACCACTTCTTTTTTTCTTTTTTTTCATTCGAACGCTTTTTTTATTTTTTAAAGATAAATACCCCCACCACTCTCTTCCTCCTCATCAACCTGTCACCTTCTTCCCGCCTTCACCTTCTTCACATGCACTCATGCTGTCACGTCCATGGACCCCGGTGTCCTCTCCCTCCACCCTCAAACCTTTTGTTTTGATCCTTTTTTCTATTAAAAGAAGAAAACTGTTGACAAAAGCACTTTATGTATCTCTTCCCACCCCTTTCCATTTCAGCCCATCCTGTAGTGCATCGCGCCTGCTGGGAAAGGCATGACGTTTAGCTTGTCCCTCATTCTTCCCTGTTGTAAATGGTAAAGGAAAAAATAATGAAAAAGATTTGATGCGTGGATTTCTAAATACAATAAAGATTGATATGAATTTCCTGTGGCTGATTGTTTTTCTTTTTTTTTTAAATGTAGTAATAGTGATGTTCTAGTATTCAAGGAACATTTAATAAAACTGATTGCAGTTGAGAAGTGACGTACGTTGAAGGATGTAGATAAAGTTGCACGAGGTAACAAAATGCAGGCATAAAATCAATGGTACTGTTGGCCCGACACATGGAGCTGAATATTATTTATGTACAGTGAGATGGAGCCTGAAGACTGCGGCCGTTGAGAGCAGAGACAGCCTCTCTAACTGGCAACCTGCCCAGCCAAAGTAATCACGAAAGCTGCCTCCATTTCTGCCAGAAGAGAAACTGCACTATCTTTTCATGACATCATATGCTGGATATTTGGCTCCCTTTTACAGTGTTTCTGATTTAGGATAGGCGTTGCGTTTTGTCGAGAATCTTGGTTAGGATTTTTGAAACAAAAGGTGAAGTGATTCATGCAAGATATAATGTTACTTATTAAATATTACCGTTAACAGAACTCCTCAAAGATTACTTTATTTGGAAATGCTTGTCTTAGTTTATTTGCCTTCTAAAGAACCATGAGGAACATACAAAGTATAAAAATCTTTTGTTACCAGCATGAGTTTGATTTTTTTTTGACGTATCAGACTATTCCAATACTGGCTGGGAGACCATAGTTACCTATAGATGAAAAGTTTTATTCACATTCATCTGCTGAAGTGGAAACTTTCTCTGTGCTCACTGAAAATCTGATATTAAGGCACGGGGGCGATTTCAGCCATCACAAATAGTTTGGAAGTCAGTTCTGCTCCAGTATTCAACCTGCAACTTGAGACCTGAAGCCTCCAGTGAACACACACTGAGTAGGAGACACATCGTTTCCAACAGGAAAACATAAAGAAATTAGGCACATATTTATAGGTTTTAGCATTTTTAACAAGGTTGAATGTGAAGATGCCTTTTAATTATACTTTTCTCTTAAAAACACATTATTGTATATTATTTGTATTTTTTGTTTGTCTTACTACATGTCTGGAGGGGATCTTTATGTTCTTATGAGTTATTCCCTAAATCAAGCACTATACAAATGATGGTGAATAATGCCTATATATAGTTGGATTTTTTACAACCTTTTTTGATAAAGAAGTAACCCACCAAATGTGGAGGTTATATTCTATAAAATGGTGTGGCTAATTCATTAATGAAAGAACTCCTGTCCTTATTGTAAGGCACGTAAGGTACATTCGTTCACCTATAGTTGGTGCAACTGATGTTGTTGCATATATTCCACATTTATCATAGAAATAGATTCTAAAAGGTATTATATATTTAAAGACCTCAGTTCAGACCTTAGATTAGTGAACTGTATTCAACCAAAACGAAATTCAGCTGGATTCACTTGCTGAAATGCAAAAATGGGACTCAACTCTGTCAGCAAATGTCACTTCTGATTATACATGAACCTACAATCATGAGGGTTTTAACTTCATGATTTTGCTTTGAATGGCGGTGTATTGTTGATTTGATGGCTCTTTGTAAGCCTCTTACTGTGAGGCTGAAGGGGCCTTCGCAGTAAGAGGGCAGATCATCTTTTAGCTGCGATAACACACTCTTCAGAAATAGGGGGGGAATGACAGAAATGTGTATTTTGAGCATCTGAGTTGAGTATTTCTCTGCACGTCTTCATGCTGCACTCACCTTGGACTTATCCAAACAGTCTTTCCACTCTATTGTGCCACATACAGTAGGTGTCAATCAAAAAGGAAGGACTGAACATCAGAATATTTTAACTTTTCTCTCTGCCTCCTGAGCTACAAGTCGAGCTCCTTCAAGAGCCAAACCCCGAGCGGCCTGCGCAGAGCGCTGTGGCACGGTGTGTTCATCTGCAGCGAAAGGCATGCAGAGGTCACTTAAGATCAGGAAAAGAACTTCCTGCCCTGGAGAAATGCCAGGATGCTGGAGTGCAGTCAATGAAGGCTTGTTTTCAGTAAGTGCTGTACCCACGGGGTAAGTCCTGTGCCTTTTATTATACTTGAAGACTTAGCCTGAAGACTCAGCCTGGATCGCATGTGCTTTCCTCAATCTTTTTCTGACGTACATATGATTTTTGGATATACGCCTGGCAAAATGTTTGGTGTACAACTGCATATTTCTTGGAGGGAGGGGGGTTGGAGTAAACAAATGCTCCTCTGCAGTTTGCTCCCTGGTCAACAGCTAATCAGTAAAAGCACATTAGAAACAGACTCTCTTCTATCCCCCTCGATCATCCTACTAATCTATCTAGAAAGAAGAGAGATTACCATTTTCCTCCCCCACGGCCATATGCCAAGTCATTTAACTGATGTCTGTGATGAATGTTTAAGCATCCTTGCTCATTTGCAACGTCAATGTATTGACTGGACCATTATACCATGTGCACTCCAGATGAGGCCTGTGCGTGCGTTCCCGGGAGATCTCTCAAGAGGGGAAGGATGCGTGAGCACGGAAACGAATGGAAACGAGGTGAGTCATCTCTGAGTGACAAGGCAAGCAATCAGTCAGTCAATCAATTCCCCCATTCATACTGCACTGACTCAGCAACTACTCTCAGCAGGAGAAGGAAGGAGGATTGTAGGAGAAACTATTAATATGTTGCTCACTATCCTAATAAATGAGTGTGTTGTATTAACAAAAAGTAAAACCATAATCTCCATTTGTTCTGTTTTTGTCTTCCTGTCCTCTCTGTGACCAGAGACAGAGCCTCCTGATTATCTTGCAGTCTCAAAAATATATAACGCCTCCCACCCACCAGAAGCCCTAAACAGGAAGCACTGGTTGGCAAATGGACAGGGCCGTTTCCGTAGCGACAAAGGGAGCGTAAAAGCCCTCCTTGCAGTGTCTGCTCCGGCTCACATTGTACCTTCTTAACTGGATGAGACGGGAGGAGGGGAATTGATGGCGGGGGGGGGAGCAGTGGGATGGACAGGGACCTTTTTTATTCTGTCCCAGAGGGAGGCAGAGAGAGCAGGCGGTGTGTGTGTGTGTTTTTTTTTTACTGAATTTATCTCCAAACTGTGAAAGGCTTTATTGATGTTATTGATGTTGAGTTTGCAATTCTCCCAGGAGGACGGTGACAACTTAATGGAGTTTGTAGAGGTCATTTCAGCTTTCAAACTGTGGCGCTTATCATCTCATACATAGAGCTGTGAAACCTTGTCAGCAATAAGTACATTGCTGTGATTTTTATTGTGTTGTGAATAATAGTATGATATTTAGTTTTAACATATACAGTCTTTTTCACTGTATACTCTCAGTACATCAGTAATGGAGAGACTGGCTGATCAGGAAATGACTGAATTTTCCAGTCCATGTCATTTCATGGTTTATAGTGTGCTCTGTTGTCTGTGAGGAATGTGTTGAGGAAATAGGTTTCCAATGACACATACAGAGGGGGACAACCTTTACACTACACGCAACACACTTTGTTCAGCTTAGTCTTTCACTCCCATTTTATAATTATTTGTTTTATTGTTTGGAATTAAGAATAATTCTACCAAATAAATAGTCCCTATAAAAACTGTGTGAACAGGACATTGTTTTCTTCAAAGACATGTTGCTGTTGAATGCATGCATAACAGAGAACTTTTAATCAACTCTTTAAATGTGTCTTTGTTTTAGTCTTAAATAACTAATCTGTGGCATTTTCTCTGTTGCTGTCTGTATACGAGTATATCCATGTATTCTGTTATATCTAATATCGGTAACACTTGAGATATATCACTTATGATACACTATGATAGCCCCTATTTAGTATTTATAAGCACTACATAAATGTAACACACTATAATGTAGCTTTAAGCAGATATAAGGACATTTTAAGAGTTTTACTATACTGTCATTCATTATCTGTTTACATACCAACCTCCATATATTGGAGCAGTTATAGTTGTTGGCAAATAAACACTCATATCTGCCAACAACCATGCTTATTAATGCTGAATGTTAAAATAGTTTATAGCATGGCAGTATATTTCCAAATGGTGAATGCTCAGATATGTTTGTTCCTCTGCCACTAGAGGGCAATACAAACACTTGAAACAGTGGCCTTCAACCCTGTGCTAAAACTAAACTTTTGACCTACTTTCAATGCGGATATGCTTTGTCAATTTATCCCAAGAACAGTGTAGTGTTCAACTTCACTTTCAGTATGTGTTTTGTGACCGCTGAGAAAAATGTTTGAGTGATTATGTTTTTTTCAGAATCAGGTTTACCGCCAAGCAGGTTTTCACATGCAAGGAGTATGGCCTTGGTATATTGGTGCAATTAATAAACATAGAACAAGGAAAAATACAAAGATGAAAACAAGTTCTGCAAGTCAAGAAGCAATAAAGAATAGAAAATTGACAATAACGTGAAAAATATAAAGACATGTACAATATCACTTATTTTAAATGGAAGCTGTGTGTGCAGAAATGTTTAAAATATTGTCCAGGGAATGTGCAAAATATCACAGTATTAAGTAAAGACCGATGAATATTTGCAATGGTTAATATTTTTGTCAAGGTGAAGAATATTTAGTTTGAGGGTAGACTGATTTCTCTTAGGATAGTCTGGTTTCAGGATCGATATGTTTCAAGGTTTCTTCCCCTGTAACTTTACATAACTTTGACTGTAAAGTAAAGGACTGTTGTACTGCAGCTAAATCGAATGAGACAAGACGTGCTTGAATCCCTTTGTGGCCGGCTCACTTCATGAATGACCCCAAGGGGTTTTTCTTTGCATTTCAGGCAACGCTTCTTTAGATCACAGTTTGAGGCTCTATGGTCATGTACACATCTCCAGCAATGCCCTTTCTCCTGGATCCACCTTCTGACTGTATCCTGTCATAACTGACACAAATCTGGACAGACACTTAAATGGTTGTCAGGGACACCACAAAAAGGACATGTCTGATAGTTAGAGAAGTCAACAAGGGTATATGAAACACAGTTTTCACAGGAGATGCTGTACATGAGATGTACAAGCCAACGGCATGTCCTTCACCATTTTCCAAAGACTGCAGCCTACCTACAAGAGCTCGGACTCAGATGGAAAAGTCTCCAAAGCTTCTGAAATCACCAGGACAAACAGAGGGGAGATTCAGGACTAGCTGCTGTGTCTTGCCATACATCTGCTACAAGGCTGACGTAGCTCTGGTGTGAGGAAGTTGGTGATGTGCGTAGGCTAAAGCAAGGTGACAAGCTGTGTCCAAGTGGTTCAATAATACATGATGTTCGAACTGCTCGCTTTCATCATGGGGCAGAAGATTTGTGAGAGCCATATTCAGCGGGGCAAACTGTCTGGGATCATCTCGGGTGAAGTATGGAAAGGGGGGGCGCTGCAACGACTTGCTGGGTGCAAGTGGCGAAGAAAGATTAAGGTCACAATGACTCATCTGGAATGTTATGCTCACATAACTTGTCGTGCAGTTCTTCGACTATAGTGGGGAGGATTGTGATGTGGACAGGGTCCCGGGAAGTCATCAGTGCAGTCACGGTTTAATGAAACTTAAGAAGAATATGACTGTCTCTCACAGTTCAGAAGCCGGAAGTGCCCAGAGAGTGGAACTTCTCTCCTAATTAGACATCCTCTGGTCACATGTTGTTGGTAACATTTAGATCAAAAATCTAAGGATCACTTCCTGTTTCTGTTGCATGTGAAATGTGCATTACTGTCACAGTCATCATGTCTGCAGTCTGGTTAAAGCTCATAACTATCCTTTGTCTCTCCTGCACAGCCCTGAGTGGACCAGGTAAGACATGTATAATGCCTCTCTCCTGACATGTCTGG